ATAAAAGTTGGTGAATGTATTTATCTTACTGTAAATAACAAGTGAAAACATTTTCAGCCTTATCAGTTGGACATTCCGGTTTTTATACTGCTTTTTTTTAATTCACTAACGCTCTAAAAATGAATATTTCAGCCGCAGTAAAGAATCAACGTTGGCGGATTTTGGTTCTTGACATCCTTTACGATCGGTTACGACGCCTAGAGTACGGAGACCTGTACGATTTCGTCAACTTAGTGAGTTTGATAGGGGCCGTATAGTGGGACTTCGGGAAGCTGGACTTTCTTTTCGGGCAATTGCAGTTAAAGTGCAAAGAAGTGTAGACACTGTGGTTAGGTGTTGTCAGGCATGGCTTCGAGAAGGCCGTACGCAAAGAGCAAGGGGCACTGGACGCCGCCGTAGAACAACAGACCGTGAAGATCGCCGCCTAAGATTATTGGCCTTAAGGGACCGTTTCTCCACTACCAGGTCCATTGCAAATGAATGGTTTGCAGAACATGGAAGACCTATTGGCATGCGAAGTGTTTACCGACGAATGAAAAGTTTTGGCTTGTTTTCATACCGGCCACACTGGGTCCTCCCTTTAACTCGAGAACACCGACGTAATCGCCTTGAGTGGTGCAGACAACGGTCACTCTGGGATCAGGAATGGAACAGTATTGTCTTTAGTGACGAGTCTCGAGTTTGTTTAGGCATGCACGATGGTCGTGCCAGGGTTAGAAGGCGACGTGGTGAAAGGAGGAATCCACAGTTTTTTGTTGAAAGACATGTTCATCACACTGTTGGAGTTATGGTTTGGTGTGGTATAGCTTATGGTTCCAGGTCACCTTTAATCTTCATCAGAGGTAACATGAACGCGCAGCGTTATATCCACGAAGTTCTAGAACCCCATCTCTTACCCTATCTTGACACCCTGGCAGATCCAACTTTCCAACAAGATAATGTCCGACCACATGTTGCAAGAGTCACAATAGACTTCTTTCAACATAATGATGTCACATTGTTACCATGGCCACCAAGATCTCCCGACTTATCCCCAATTGAGCACATGTGGGATATGATGGGTAGGAGATTGCTCAATTTGCAACGTCCTCCTCAGACTCTAGAAGCACTTCGAGAGGAGTTGATGGTTGCCTGGAATGAGATACCTCAGGAAGACATTGACCACCTGATCAGAAGCATGCCTAGGCGCGTTGGAGAATGCGTAGCACATCAGGGTGCATCCACACATTATTAAAGGTCAAAGGGCTTTAAAGCAGTGCAATCATTTTGAAATTTTTATCATTTACTTATTACGCTTCACTAATTACTTATACAAAATTTTATTAAAATAAAACCATTTAAACTGGTTGTTCGGATTTATATGTCTCTCAGTATAAAAACATTTACAGTTACATAAGCATCGTGTAACGCTGAAGTGGTAGGTACTCCTAGTATCCAAATAATATAAAAATGTTTCTCCTTCAGCGGTTTGTCAATGATGACACCACCACAGGTTCACCAGTTGGAGTTTGTTACCCATTGCTCAATCGGCAGTGGCCTCCACGACGATGCACGCAACGGGATCAGAAGTTTCTTAATGATGAAACGTCTTCGACCAATACTAAAGACGTAACATTCGTGTTCCTGCCCCGTTGCCACTGAACCGATTTCCAAAAACTACAAAGCTTTTTCATCCTTGGCATAGTAGTAACCTTGTGTGAAAATTTCGTCAAAATCCGAATGGTAGTTCTCAAGTTATAGGCGGTTATAGGATTAGAAGACAGACCGACATACAGATACCAACGGAAAGGAGTGGTATAGTTTTTCGTAATGTACATGTGATATAACATCCAAAAAACACAATATTTCAATTTCGGAATTTTTCGCGAATAAAATATTCCTTCGCCAGTTGGCGTAGGAAGTAAAAATCAAATGTATGTTTGAACCTATGATGTTTGAAATATATCTAAGATTCGTAGAATTACTGGAGCTGAAGTTGTATGAGTATACTGACACCAAAACAATTGAGATGTACATGTCATATTGACACGATGGTAACTAAGCGGTGTACTTAGGGACGTGACCTTCATGCGTTGTGAAGGGCCTGGTATCATATTTTGCAGGAAATAAGAAGAGAAGAAAAGAAACTCCCCTGAGACTGAGTCCACTGTCCCTTTTTTCCTTTCCCGAAGCCGTTCGACTAAAGTCCTCGATGGCACTGCATCCTCTAGGACCCCTTGAGTTCACAGTACCCAGTCCAGCAGTCCACTGTTCTGAACCAGTTGGTACAGTTTTCCTGCCTTTTCTGCTGGTACTGGTCTCCCTCGGTTCAAGTTTTGGTTAATGTCTTTTGTGACCCAGCACCTCGCTCTCACATAAGACATGTAGGGCTTATTCTCTTCCTTTTCCGCATTGATCTCTATCGTACAGCCCTATTTTGCTCAGGTGTTCTTTCAGGCCATTATGTCATGTCAGACGCCCTGTAACTGCACGAAGACCGCAGACGGTTTCTACTCAGTTCCGCGGTCTTATTTGGGCAAGGCCCCGAGATGAATTATCATTCAGTCACTGTCACTGAATGCCAATATTCCTTGTGCTGGTTTCTTACCCATTCTTTGACTTGATTCCTTATTATGCTTTTTGGCACCTGTTAGACAGATTCTAGGCCTGCACAGGGTGTGGATGATCCTTTCCTTGCGAATTCATCCACCCTTTCATTTCCCGCGTTACCTGAATATCCTGGCACCCACATCAGAGTTACTCTATTGTGTTCCGCCAGTGAATTTATTCACTTCTTGTTGGCATTCCCAAATCCCGCTGTCCCTTCAATTAATAGTAGGCATTCCTATTCGACCAAACGGCTTTCATTTTAGCAGTGTGAAGTTGTTATTTTTGCAGTAAAATCTGTTAGGTAATAACAATAAACGTTTACGGTTATTTCCCGATTATCACTATTGTAACAGAAGCATTTATGTGTTTAAGTCATAACGTTGAAGCTTTTAGCCATCAGTATGAAACGCTTGCTATCACAAATAATAATAAAGTTTGAAATGCTGAAGTAGTAAATAATAAACAAAGCAATGGGATAATAGATTGTATACTGTGTCACCATGCCAACTTTCAACCAAAGGGTAGTTATACCAAGAGACAAGGCGAATAAATTAGAGCAAGGTAAGAGATGTATCCAAAGACATGGCATCTAAACACGTGCTGTTCTTATTTGGTCAGAGATAAAGGCGGTGTTGCCAGACATATACCTAATTCTTTTTGGATGAATTATTTTCCATTACTTATATTGAAAGCTGTTTCATGATTCATTTCATACCCATATCATAACGCTGAGGACGGACATTGTAAATCCCTATTCAGCGGACGTCACTCGGCTTATTATGTCCCTTTATCAAGTCCTTTCATTTGATACTTATAGTATAGGGATGGCTATGAAAATTAATTGCCATTTTGCGGAGGCCGCCATATCGGATTTTGAATGACATCCCGTTGTTTGTTATGACTCTCTTATAAATCCCTCTAATTTGATACCTATGTAGGGGTGACTAAGATTATTATAAACACCATCTTGGGCGGTCACCATATTAGCCTTGGAATGACGTCACTTTGCTTATTACGTTTCTTTGATCTACCCCTTATATTTGATATTCTTATCATACTGGTTACTGTGAAAATTGTAAATCGCCGTATCGCGACCGCCACCAGATTGGATTTAGCGTGATGTCACTATGCTTATTGTATTCATCTCGTCAAGTTTTTTTCTATATCCTGGTGGTTGCTATTCAAAGTGGCGACAGTTAATTCAATTTTTTGTCTTGTAAAAAGGATATAAGATGCATGTCTTACTGTATAGACAAAAGCCTAAACAGATGGTAAATATATATGATTTAATACCAGCAGATTGTTACGAAATTACTATTAACCTGGATAACAAGAAAAACACCTAAGGTGCATAAAAATAAACAAACTGATGCAACATTTCTTGGAACGTATTTTTGTATTGGATGCAGAAAATAAAAAAGTTCCGTCAATTAAATCGGGTAATGATTCTAGTTAAAATAAAACAATGCACCGGCAACATCTTTTTTTGCCTCAAAACTGTGACAATATCGGGTTATGTCCATCAGAAGTCGTGAAAAGATCATCATGCGTCAGCGAACCATGATTTATTTCTCAATATGAAAATATATGGATAATATATCCACTATTTTATCCTTCAAGTTGGTTGAACTCATGAATACTAAAAAGTAAATATGAATGAAAATACGTTTTCCTTTTTACATCCTGCAGTCAAAACGTAACACGCTTTTATTTCAAAAACTGAAATGCAGGAACTGAGTTATCGTTTAAATATTCACAATCGGAACAAATGTTTTTAAATTTTCACACAGCTAAATATAATCTTTTTTTAAAAAAAGTATGCCTCACGTTATTTATTTGCAAATAAATCGTACTCCCATCAAACTTCAGAATCGGTCCAATGGTTGCCGTAATTACGCCTAACTAAGAAAGCGATGGAAATGAATGACAGCAACGCGAACCTTTGTATTTTAAATCATCTAGGAAAGCTACTATCTAAAAACAATAAATAAAATAAGAATTTAGCTCAGACAAAATTAGGAAATTGTCTCTGGAAAATGTGCAATTCTTGGGAAAAATGTACGTGTCTTATTGCATGTGTCCCTCGTTTTATCTTATATTTTGCATCTCAAAACCATGCTCATTTTTAAGACATAACTTGGATAATCGTCATTCTTTACATTCTAATCTTTAAAATATCATTTTAAAGAGAAATCCTTAGGTGTTCTTCGATAAGTAAATTTAATCATTATTTATTAACAAATAAGACGTTTTATGAAAATACTCGCCAATCACCCAAAAATCAAAATATGTAAAAGCCTCTAGGCATCTCTTCTGCTATAAAAGTGTTTTTTTAGACTTCGCACAAAACATATTATGGTAAGTGGGCTCCAGTCGATTTATTTAAAAATTCACTATGATTGGTTTCTTACCTTCCTGAACAAAACTTTTTATGGGACCAAGGCAATCTGGTTATTAGTTTCTGAAAAATATAGAGATGAAGTTTGCCGATTTGCAAAAAAGGTGAATGTGCGCGTAAAATCTATGTAGTTCCTCGTGAAAACTATAGAATTTCAGGATGTACCAAATGTAGGACACCTTGATAAAATAGATGGTGCTGTTATTAATAGGCAGCATCCTCCAATTATTATTTATGAAAGGTCTTAATGCTCCATTAGCGCTTCAGCTGGTATCAAGAGCACAAAAGAGACAAACGTCGCTCTAGTGTTAGATGAAGTAGAAGATATCCACACAAGGAATTCACTCACGTATTGTAAACCCAATATAGTATCAGCTATGGATATCCTATCGACAAATTAATGAAAATAACGAGGATTTACCTCGCGATTGTGCAATAGTTAATGGGATGTAAATCTGGTGATCAAACTCTAGGCACTTGTGTTATTCTTCCAAAGAGTTGACAGAAACCATACGATATGTCGGAAACTGATCAAAACAGAACATTCAAATTTATAGCCAGAAGCTATGTTCGCGTTAGTGCACTTTTTTTATTTCGCCTTCAAAATCAACATTACCTGGAATTGACCTCAATAATTTCAAGGCCTACCTAGGAACTTCTGTTTTTCTTAAAGTAACTAAGGTTTGGCAATGTTAACATATCACATATTATACATTTTTGGAATTAGAATTAAAGACTGTCTTCATTTGAGCACTAATTCAATATGGCGTCCATAAGAAAAAATAAAGTTGATACTGGAGCACAAGAGACGAAACGTCAAATTGAAATTCTAATTATGCCATCTTGTAGAGGATAAAAAGTGGCAATGTCAATGTGCAATTTATTTTGAAATCCCACTGCCAATAAAGTCAGGAAAAAATTAAATCGATTTTGGGAAAATTCGTTTTTCTCCGTCTCTCTTTAGAAGTACCTTGAATTTCGAAACTTTTTAAGCGGCATTATGAAACATTGCCCCCATTTAACCGACTTCATATCTCTTACAGTTTTCGAGATCCCAATGGTGAGGGTCGAATTTGAAACACCCAGAAGATTGCAGCCAACAATATAAGATATACTTTCCCCCCACCCCTTACAACCCCTAACTTCCCAGTAAAATTTTCTGAAAATGATCAGGAGCATCTCAAACGTCATAAAACGAAGAGCAGTACTTTCCAAGTTAAAGGCGGTCCAAACATCAGCGGATAGACCGACGGAAATGAGTGACGTGAAACATAATATCTCATTTTCAAAATGTTTCGTGATTACAATACTTCCCCGCCAGTAGGTGTGGGAAGTAAAAAATAACAAAAATCACCTTTAGGCCGTTGCAATGATTACTACTTTATTGTAGCCTAGGTCGTCAGGAAAAGCTTCTGTTTCTGATAACTCTATTAAAACTCATCTGGCATTACCGCCTCCGCTTTATATCGAATAATTTTAGATCTAAGGTCTAATAAACCATTAAACAACATTTTTTGTTATTAAGTCGATTGATCAGCCTAATATTCTAATTAAATGTTTGTTATTGATTAGTATATCAATTAGTCTGATTAGTTCCACAATTCGATCAATGCCGTAGAAAAAGCTTTACCTTTGATCGGTGCTACATCAACAATCTGTTGATGGCAGGGGGCTTCCTCTGTCAGACACACGCCGTTGATCTCTTTCATTGCCACGTGCTTGCACAACAAGAAAAAAACAACCGAAAAACAGACAGGTGAACCTTGGAGCACAAACAGCAGCCACGACCGCGAATCAATTCAATTTCTTGTCTGTCCGATTGATCCAATTCACTGATAGGAGAATTGTAAATCACTGTGTTATATCGCCGAGCGAATTGTGACGTCACGTTATTTGCTTAACTCCTCCCTTTTCTAATTTCGTTTCTCGTTTGGATATCCTTGCGGATAAAGTTGTTTTTTCTTATCGCCGCCGATTCGAAAAAACGCCGGAAGATGTCGGAAATTGTGGTCAAGAGTCGTGGTGACGGCAATTTGCTTTTTCGTACAGGGTGACCCAAATCCGTATATTTTCGATGGCAGTGACAGGGGAAAAGATTAAATCAAAGGTGCGTGGTGCACTGGTGAAACAAATACAGTTTTCCACATGACAAACAAAATTATTCTTGCAGCTACTAACCTGAGGAAGCGCCATTGTTTAACGAATTCCTATAAGAACAAGTTACACTTCTCTCTCTAGGTAAATAATGATAAAAAACCCTAGGTGACTAATAAGTTCGTGCATTCATGCAAAGCTTGTTTATCCATTTCATCAATGGTGGATGCACGGGGTTCCCGATAGCATGAAATATTTATTCAATATTTAATAATATTTTTATCTTACTTAAATATTTGTTATCTTAAACAAATATTTAATAAATATTTTTATTAGATATACATTCAATATCTTTTAAATATTTTATATACAATCTTTCTTATATAATAATATTCATTAAATATTTACTTTTCAATCAATAGAAAATCCATTACTTAGAGAATATTCATTAAATATTTTTGGCTACGGCGCATGTGCGTGTGATCCCGAGCGACCAATAGCATAATGGCAAGCCGACCTGAGCCGACTCGTTTGACGGCATCCAATTTGCCTGTGAGCTTAACCATGATAGCGTGCTTCTTGTGTACCTCCAAGTGGTACATTATTTGAGTGTTTTTTTGTGGAAAAGGAAAAAGGGTAAGTCTACATAGCTTAAGTTATATGACTAGTAAACATTATTGTGATTATTGTGCCAGTTGAGTATAAAGGTATTTACAGGACCATAAATAACTTACAGTGTAACAGTTATTTGCGATTTGGGATTGGTGGATTTATCTGAAAATGGATACGAAAATTATATCCATCAAAATAAAAAGTCCTATAATCGCAACTTGATCAAAAATGCTTCTTTTTTAAATATTTTCATTCTTATTATTATTTTTGTCGTAGTAGGGCGCAAATCAGCTAAAAATATTTTAAAATTTTTAAGTTTAAGTTTAAGTAAAATCACAAAATAGTTATCGCTAATTAGGCCCCATACTACTACAAAAAAGTCAAATTTCAACAAAATCAATAAGTGGTCTATTTTCAAAAACCTTTCCTTAAAAAGTTAGTCAAAGGATCAAGTTGTGCCCATGGACGTTTTTCATCAAGATATCTAAAATAATATACCGAATTTTCTTAAAAATTAACGAAACTCGGACTCTCATAGAAAGAAAATGTGGGGTCCTTTTAGGTGCATTATAGAGCTGCTTTTCAGTGACCCAGTTGAGCTACTCGGAGTAACTCAGCAGTGCTCAGTACCAATATTGTTCGACTGCATTTTATATTCCCATAAATACACTTTCTAGAGTAGTTTGGGAGAATATCTCTCTTAAACAAAAGACCACTGGAAAGCATCAGCTTATCTATTCAATAATACTTCATAATTAGTAAATTTGTTTTTTTCAGATGAGTGGATTTGCAAGATGCAGAAGAGGCTTAGAATGTTTTTAGTAATATTTTTTCTAGCAAATTAAACCATGTTATCTAGAATTAATTTTCTTTATAAACCCAATTTTGTAAAAGCATTCCTACAGATTTTGCTAAAATAACCAATAAATAATTTTTGTATACATTGAAAATATGTATATATATATATATATGTATATTAATGCTTGAAAATCCTTACATATTTGCGAAAAATAAAGATATTTCATCATAATATAAAATTGATATTTATAAATCTTTCCTCATTTATATTTTCTAAATATTTGGAAAACATCTCAAAAATATATGAATTATATATACTACATATAACTATAATGAATATTTTATGGATATATAAAAAACATATTTATTAAATATTGAAAAATCTGTCGCTACAAATATTTAACAAATATTTTTTTTAAATATTTAATGCTATCGGGGGTGGAAGAGATCAGAGGGATAGCCCCCTTCCTCCCAAAAAATCACCAGATATCATTTTTTTAAAAATACGATAGTCCAAGTACAGTAACTGAAAAGAATAAATTGTTAATTGTGCTATCAAGACAATTCTAAGTACACTTCAAATGTCAATACTGTAGCTCACACGGGGGGGAGGGGTAATAACCCCCCCCCAGATGACTCGAGCAGTCTTTGAAAAGGTGGTATAAAATAAACGTCTTATAAAAAAATCTGTAGCTTTAAGAAAGGATAGCAACACTGCCAACCCGCTCAGTGCGCATGCGATTAGCGACTACAGGTATAGTCTAGTTTTTTATGGTCTAGTCTAGCGTCTAAATTCTGTACCAGTCCAGAGTCCGCAACAAAATTTGGCTGAGAAGTGAACAAGCGGAGTTTCGTTGATCTGGTTGCTATTAACGCTTTTTGCTATGTTCTATTGATTTTTTATTTTCCACGCATAAGCCAGAAAATTAATTTTTGTTTGTTTTTAATGTTTATAGTATAAAAGAATCGTGTCTAAAAAAATTACAGACGGAAAGATGTAAATTTAATATAATTTCAATTACGAAGTGTTTGGTCCATACTCCAGCTATCATTATCATCTATGTCTATTTTTGTGTAACTTTTAGTGCTGGTTAACGGCTGCTGTTGTCAGGATGCGTTAAATGAATCAGACTACCAATGATTTCTTAACAAAACAAACTGTCTGATCCACCGGCACAAGAATTACCGGAAAAAACTGATGATAATCCTATAATTCAACCTGAGCTTTTCACTTAAGAATTTCTTGATGTTGCACCGTATGCTGAACCAAGTGTTGAACAATCCGGTGCAAAACCTAAAGGATCCAATTTTGTTGATGTTGCGCCATGTAAATTTCAGCGGCAACTTGAAGGCGCCTTGATTTTGTAATTTAATAACACCAGAACTTTGCCTAAGGTTGTCTTTCAAATCCATCTCCCTTCTGTTGGCAAATAAATAAAAAAGCAGATTTAATTAAGGGTTTACTTACGTTTAAACCACCATGGTGACCTTTTACAAAGTATCCAATCAAGATATGTGGTTTTATTTATTGGCCAGCAGATTGATATAAAAGTCTGTTCAAATTCTGTTCCAGTCACTTTCTAAGCTAATGTAAAGATTGTTTTATTTTGAGACTATGAACTGATGTAGTTTCATGGTTTATATGTTTTTGTTCTTTGAGACTGGCTAAGAGAATGCAGTTATGCAATAAATATTTTTTGTGTTTTTATCATGATTGAGAATTTCGTTTTGATTTAAGTACAATCAGTTTTATACTTTATACAAGTCGTAACATATTTGTTATCGTTATTTTTTTTCATGAAGATGTATTTTTTGTTGTTTTCTCTGACATTGTTATGTAGAAAAGTCTGTGATAGCTTATATTATTTTGCATTTTTGTTTTAATATATGAAGATTGCTCGAGCTTGGTTTGCTTTAATACACTTTGATTTCGTATGATTCAAAATTTAAAAAAATGTATGTTCTATTTTTTACAGAAATTACTGTAACAAATTCATATGTCTGAATGTGTCCATGCTTTTAATGTTAAATCATTATAACACTTCAGTACGTCACACTGAGAATTTACTTTCCATTTTACCCCTCCCAGACTGAAATCCTGGGAGCGCCACCGAATGACAATATCCATCAAGCAGTTTAGTCCGAGATTTGGGACGGTAACCCGTCAAATATTATTCTCAAGATTGAATTTTAATATCCGCATTTTGATTTCACGACATTTTGGTCTCAGTATCTCTCGCACTGTCAACACAATTCTAGAAACACCTCATATGTCAAAAGCCATCAAATAGTCTAAGCTGTAGCTTGTAAAAAAATCAGTCAACTTGAAACTTTCAATTAAAATCTACCATATTGATCTTATAGAATTTTAATATAGCCAGTGTTGAGCTTACTCAAATTACTATGACTTAACCGAACTTATAACGTTTAACGTAATTTTGTTCAAATTTAGCATTTTCTTTTCATAGAATTTTAGTAAAGTCAGTGTCACTAGCACTAGCACTGCTAAGACCAATCCAAAAACACCTCATATGTCAAAATCCACCAAGCCGTTTTGTATGTTAGTAACGGGTAATTCATTTAGAGGTACTTTTTTGGTGTGGCTGTAATTGCTTATGGCGCATGCGTCATAACAACTAATTTGACATTTTCTGTTTCAGGATTGTTCGACATTTCATCATGAAAAGACTTAGTCCAGCACAGCGTCTACATATAATTCAGCTGTACTACGAAAATCAACGATCTGCGAGAAGTGTGTTTCGTGCACTTAGAGCAACTTATGGTGTACATAATCGGCCCACCGAACGCACAATTCGCCGTACGGTCGAAAAATTTGAAACCCAGTTTTCATTATTGGATTATATACCCGACCAAATAGATCACATCCAGCACGCAGTGAAGAAAATATAGCTGCGGTAGCTGAGAGTATACGTGAGGACCGTGAAGAATCGATTCGGCGCCGTTCTCAACAGCTTGGCTTGTCGTATTCAACAACTTGGCGTATTTTACGTAAGAATCTTAATTTGAAACCATACAAAATTCAACTCGTTCAAGAATTGAAGCCGACCGACACTTCCAAAGCGTCATCGTTTCAGTCTTTGGGTTCTTGCTCGGCCTGAAGAGGATCCGATGTTTTCGAGCAAAATTTTGTTTATCGATGAGGCCCATTTTTGGCTTAACGGCTACGGTAATAAACAAACCTGTCGTATTTGGGGAGAAGAACAACCCGAAGTGGTTCAAGAGCTGCCATTACATCCAGCGAAAACAACGATTTGGTGTGGTTTATGAGTCGGTGGAATCATCGGTACCTATTTTTTTAAAAATGAGGCCGGTCAGAACGTAACTGTGAATGGTGCTCGTTACCGCGCCATGATAACGGATTCTTTGCTGCCTGAAACTGAAGCCCGTAATCTCGATGACATTTGGTTCCAACAAGACGGCGCCACTTGCCACACAGCCAGTGCAACCATGGTTTTATTGCGAGA